CAAAACTGTTGAGTCTGCTGAACGCAGCCATTGTCTGCTGAGATAGGACCATTCTTCTAGATCTAAAAGTATGATCCAATTAGCGCGAAGGAAACTTCCAACAGTTGCAAAACAACCGTTCTGCTGAACGCAGCCATTGACTATAGAGTTTTGATTGGTCGCGCTGTTCCACTCCACTGTAAATTTCAGCTCATAGGACGCCAGCCTGAATCGTCATGGCACATGATCGTGGTAAATCGGCGGGAAGAGTGGGAAGAGGTCGTATGTCGCGTGCGGGAAAAATTCGTGCATTCCCGCGAAACCAAAGTAATCAATCGAGATAACGGAGTCGTGGTTATTTTCGCGCGCGCAGTTCCAGGCGAATATAACATACAACACCACAGAACATATAATACCGTAATGGCGACGCCGACCAACAGCAGCGGTAACCTCGTCGACGAGTTCGAAGAATCATTTCAGGTAGAACGGGCATTTTACATTACTCTGTATTATTGTTAATTGAGTGTATCGCATATTATTATTCATGTCGACATAATCGAGGAATGTTTTGCCGATGATGGCATTTCTTTGTAAAAGTGACATACCTCGAATGTAAGACTCGAATTGTCACAATAATTGCTCTATTGTTGGCATAAGTTAATGTCATTATTATCGTTACGAAGCAATTTTTAAGTAGAAATTGTATTTTTATCTGAAATATATATGTGGTTACAGGAAGGTTTACCATAATGATGCTGAAAATAATTATTGTATATACATGTGCTGGTAAAGCGGACTAAACTGAGTCGAAAAATTTTGTACCATTTTGCAATTTTCACAATAGTTAACAAGATATTAATTATTAAAAATCGCCGAATATTGGTTTTCGAATATTTTTTACTCAAGTACTATCAACTTTACCAAAAAATAGCAAGTGATAAAAATTGTTGATTTTCTTCTCAGTGTTCTAAGAATTTTTTAGTACCACATTTTCTCATGTTGATAAAAATTGTTACTAATATGAAAATGTATTAAAAAGTTGATAAAAAATTCTAAAAAATTCTTAGAGCTCTAGAAGAAACTAAAACAATTTTTGTCTCTTGTTGTTTATCTGTAAAGTTAATAGTAAAAAATTATTGAATAATTCGACGATTTTTAGTAATTAATATCTTGTTAATTATTTCGAAAATTGTAAAATGATAGAGGATTTTTTGTCTCAGTTTAGTCAGCTCTACAAGCACATGAAATATTTGGCAGTTATTCTGTGATATGAATTTCTTTTAATTTTAACTGTTATTTGATTCTAAATTTGTTTCTAAACATTCAACACTGCTGAAATGTTTTGAAATGTTAAAACAAATTATATTATTGAATGTCAGTTATTATTTTTCAGCAATGTTTGAGTATATTGACAAAAGACGAGGGATTGGGCAACAGTGGAACCGGTGCGTCTGGTGGTTTGACAGTGGATAAAGACGAAGGTCGCGCGGAAATAGAACAGGCTACCATGAGATTTATAGACCTGGCCAGGCAGATGGAGGCTTTCTTTTTACAAAAGAGATTTCTCTTATCTGCGCTGAAACCCGAGATGTTGGTTAAGGAAGAAATCAATGAGCTGAAACTGGAGTTGGCGCGTAAAGAAGAACTGATAAAAAGACATAACGATAAGATTTCTGTCTGGCAGAATATGTTGTCGGATTTACAAGGATGGGCGCAGTCACCTGCTCAAGGCCCAGCGCCTAGTGGTAATATGAGACTAATTTAATAATAATTATAACAGATTCAATAACTAATAACACTGATATTGATGCCAATAGGATTACCCAATGGAAATCAAAGTGGACAGAATCAGCAGGCTACAGGTGGCAGTGGTAATGCTTCAATGCAGCAACAACAGCAAATACTACAACATCAGCAGCAATTACAACAGCAATTACAGCAGCAACAGCAGCAGCAGCATCCACAATTGCAGCAACAATTGCAGCAGCAAATGCAACATCCGTTGCAACCACAGGTATTTAAGTGACGCTAAAGTTAAAATTTTATTCTTCTATAGGTAGATTGTTGTTAAATTTGGTATTGAAAGTATGCTTTTTTAATTATTAAAAGGAAAGTGAAGAAGAAAAAGTGTGTGAGAAAGAAGCGAGTGAGAAAGAAGCGAGTGAGAAAGAAGCGAGTGAGAAAGAAGCGAGTGAGAAAGAAGCGAGTAAGAAGCGAGTGAGAAAGAAGCGAGTGACAGTACGATTGAAGAGTAAAAACTAATGAAGATTATATAAATGAAGATTATAATGTAGAATTTTCTATGATTTCGTCGACAAGCACTTTTTTTCGCGTAATCATTTAAATCCATAAATTGTTCACGTAATTTATTTATCTTTCTTTTTTAACGAGGTTTCAATGTTAAATCTGTTCTTGTATTATACAATCATATTTATATCAGAGGACTGGCTGTTTTATAATAATATATATCATAATATATATAATTATAATATAGACAGTGTAAATATTACAATGCATATATTTGTATATATTTATATGTATTATTTATGTCATAATTAAAGTGTTAACTCATGAAATCTATACATTTACTGTAGTCTGCTGTAGTCAATGTATACATCAAACCTGTCGCAATTTTAGCTTCGGAGCGAAAACTCAAAAGCCATTAATATAGAAAGTTCAATGTGGGTAAGATTTCGAGGAATCATCTAAACGACACTTATCAACACTTTACTATCCCCAAAATCTTACCTATATTGAATTTTTCGTGTCGATGGCTTTGCGTTTTGGCTTCGGAGTTAAAATTGGACAGGCCTGATATACATTTAACACTTTGACTCTGACATGTACATAAATAGAAGAATTTCTGTTATTCCTATCTGAGATGCGTGACTGTTCATATGTATGAATACGTCTGTGCGAAAGAAAATGCATGTGTGAAGAATCACATTTATATCAGAATCATATTGTTATTAAATGAACAGATTTTCTTTCTTTTTGACTGAAACTATTCACTTTAAAATTATTTAAAAACGTTAGATAATTTTTTAAATAATTGCTGAGGCTACTCACGTCACGTACGCGTAACAATTATAATGCTGTGTGTAATATCAGTGCCTTATACAATTTCTACACGAACAAAGAAATATATGTATAAAAGAGATTAATAAATCAAAATGCTTTTCTTATAATTAACTACGTTATAAAAGTATATACAAAAACAGAAATTTTCATTAGGAAAGGATTAACTATATGTATAACCTTTGTAGAACGGTGCCAAAATAATGAACAATAATGTACAAATACTTAGTAAAAAAAGACAAAAAAATATGTAATAAATCTGTTAATGGCAACAATAAAACTTAGGAATGTTCTCATAATTGATATACTTCATATTAATAGGACCTAGTGATCACCTTTACATTTGACATCATTTTGTAAGAAAGACATATTTAAAAATTATTATTTAAAAGTTAGATATTTATATAGAGACGTAACACGAAACTATATATAGATCAATGTATAGTTTTTTCTATTTTTAAAAATATTTTTTTCTTATGTGTGAGTAACATTTATTCGCGTCATATTTCTGTATTTATTCAGAAAAAAATATACATATGTACATAAGAGGCTCACTCCTTTGCATGTAGATATTGTATGCATGCGCATCAAGTAATGTTACGTAAATTGCATTCTGATTACGAAAATAGGTAGCAAAACATTGTTACTTGTAAATTAAAATAACTATCGTCGAGTTTCTTCTAATAAATAATAATTTAATACATGTATGTTTGAATGAAGACATACAGAGTGTATATGATGAATTTTCGATATTTTGAAATGATGCAAAATAAAAACGAACACACATATTTATGTTTTTACTGTAAAAAGTAACTAAAAGAGTTTCTTACAAAAAATTACTTAACTTTTATATGAACATCTTTAGTGATACGAAGGAATTTGAGTCGGAATTCCTTTTCATTCCAAATACCGCAACATATTATTAGTTATGATGCCAATGGCAGTCACAATTCGATTGCGCAAAATATTCATTTTGTTATATTTAACATTTGACTTGTAGTTCCAATGAAAGAGAATATAAATATCGGATTTTTTTCTTTCTCAGTGTAAAACTGTGCACTCTAACAATTGTCTGAACATGCTAAAATTGTATTTCCACAAATTACACACTTGCATTCGAATATCGTGTTCTAATGGAATAGTGGATAAGTTCAGAACTCTGTCATTGGAGCTTACAAATCCGTTAAATATTAAGTGCAACTTTTTCGGTTTTCTTCACCAAGGTGTCGATCGTGAATATTTTACACAATCGAATTGTGATTGTATTTGTGACATGTTGCAGTGCATTTGACATGAAATGGAATCAGTATCCTTCATGTCACTAAAATGTTAATGTGAAAGTTTGATAATCTTTTATAAGTAACTTTTATATATTCTTTACAATCAAATGTTCAGAAATATGTATCTGTATGCGTTTCTTTCAACATTAAAAAATGTCGAAGGTTTATTGTGTATCCCCGTGTACACCCTTCTCTTTCTCTCTTTACACATATCTATATGATAAATGGTAATATATAGAGCATTTAAATCTTAAATTTGTAAATATCTCATAAGAAAAGCATTATAGCTATTGCAATCTGGCAGGTACTATTTCACTTACGTTGTTTTGATTCATAAGTAGATATTACGGCAAAATAAATATCTTTGTTCATAGCAAAAAAAAACAAGAAATATTATTGTACTTTTTTTTTATTTCTCTCGCCTATTTATTGTTATTCTCGACAAATCCTGATTTTGATCATTGTCTGCCCGTGTCTATCTTTTTAAACATATGCGTGCATATGGAGCACATTAAATAGCTATTTCACAAAAGTATAATGGAGTAATCCCTACGGTTTTTTTCTATGATATTATATCAGAGATCGAGATATAAACATTGAATGAAAGCTTATTATTTTCGCTGTACATCTTTCTGCTGCACTCATACATGTCTCATGGGAAACATCATCGTTGTGTATCGGTCCTCGTGATACATCCTCATTTGATGTGACTTTGCAGGTGCAACAGGGTTCTGGTGGCCCGCCTACATCAGGTCTTCAGGGGGTTGGTGTGCCAGTCAATCAGCAGGGCATGTTCATGGCACAAGGTGGTGTAGGTGGCAGAGCCACCGGATTCCCGGTCGGTGGTATGGGCAGTAGCGCCCTGCAAGGGCCCCTGGCCTACCTGGAAAAGACAACGAGCAACATAGGGATGCCAGAGAGGCGGAGTTGACGCGGAAGGGGAATGCGCCCCTTCCCTCTCCGCAACAGCAGCCGCCACCGCCTTGCACATAATACGTGTGGCATTTTTAATTTCTTCTTCTGGAAGAGAGAGACTATTTTTTGTACTTCCAAGGTCGAACACATTTAGGTTGTTATGGGGTTGTGTTTGATGTTGGATTGTTGATTTGAATGTACTATATCAATGGTGATGATAGTGACGTTGTGCTAATAATTAAAGTGCAGTTGATATGCGTTACTGTTATATTGTGGAAATAGACACAACAATGCATACAAATATCATATAATTTACGAGCTTACTGAGGTCTCCATGGTAAACGCGTTTTAACAGTGCCAGTTTTATTGTGATTCAGCTTTGGATTGACATTACGACTATACGAACATTCTTTCGCATTCCTCTTAAAACTGTTCTGTACGCGAAAGACAGACATTTTGTATTCTTTGTACTAGTCGCAGAAATCTTAAGACGGGAGCAAGCTTACATGAAAATGTAAAATTGCGACGTAGAGTGACAAAAGTATGATAATACGTTGCAACTGAAGCGGCAATAAACTGTACATAATAACGAGATGTGAGATGTGAGCAACATGATACTTTTACTCGTTAAGGATAAGGATATCTTCCTATTTCTTTATACTACATCGTTAGTTTATATTCTCTGAGATCGCCGACACTTTTATAATAAACTGCGTTCATCGCTTCTACAGTGCCTTTGGATACCTATCAAATGTACTGTTCGTGCGATATCAATAAAATGTACTAATGTACCGTGCAAAATCAAAATGAATATTACATTTGTTGGTCGCACTAATATAAGCATTTCTGTCCTGAATATTTACGTACAAACTTAAAATTTTTATCCATGTTTACATAAATTCTTAAAAGTATAACACACTTCGTGTCCGTAACTGTAATGTACACTTATTAGAAAGCATTAGATAGCGTTAATACATGTAAAACGAATCTTAAGATGTAGTCAAGATTTTTAAAAAAATCCTAAATATTTTGCTGTCTTTTTATTAACATATTTTTAGTTTTTTTGTATGTTATTTTTAGTTATTTGATTAATAATTTGTATTATGTGCTATTACAGTACTTATAAGTATCTATGCGATGTGTTCTATGAATGCACAAAGTACAATAATAATTTTATACCGCGATACATTGTAGAATAATCAATTTTAGTTTAAATAAAAAATTAATATTTATACATAATTAAAACAATTATTTTGAAAATTATTTAAAAAGTATTAGTTTTATTTGCAATTATTTATGTTTATATAGTTAACATGTAAATATGTACTTGAAAACATTGTACAAGATAGCAATTTTATGCTTATTTTTTATGTAATGTGATAACCAAAAGAAATATTTTATATATGAATTGTCGCTTTAATACGATAATATAAAAACAAATCTATTTTTCCTATTAATAGACAATTTTTATATATCGTCTTTTACAAAACAGGGCAGTTCTGCTTATATTACTCGCTATTTTTTAAATCTGATGTATTCATATACATACAACATATCCAATTTTTTCATCCTGTACAATATTATATTGTATGCACTGTAGTATACATGTAGTATTAATACGAATGTTAATTATATACATATACAGAGCACGCTTTCTTATTTTCACTATTCCAGCTAGTTTAAAATCCTGATTATAATAAGGTCTTCGAGAATATTTATCAAAAGAAAAGTTCATTGTTAGCTTTAACATACGAAAACAATTCGACTGTACAAAATTGTAAAAGAGTTGTACAAAACTTATTTTCAAAACTGTTTTGTAATCAAACGTGATAGTCGCATGTATAAAATGGGATCAGTTTCAATTTGTAATGAAAACTGATATTTTATATAGGGGAATAGTGTCTAATAGATAAAAAAATCCTTTTTCCGGATTTTTTTTTTAATGGGATGGAAGATCAAGTATTGTGAATTTATAAAAAGGTTCGAAGCTATGATTTACTAATAGAAACAACTTGATGATAAGTTTTACAAACATTCGTATGTGTTAAAATGCAACAAATATATAATTATTAAATTACATGATACACACACAGAATGTGTCTGGAGGTGTCTTTGACAAATGTGAAAATTGTTTTTAAAATGAGCAGCTTTCATATGTAGATGATTAAGTATTCTATTTCATTCCTTTTCCACTGTATGTATACATTACTTTTAGGGATTATACATTTTAATCGTATAAGAAGTGGTAACTTAAAAGATGTAGGCACTGCCTAATATGGCGAGGTTTGATAATTTTGATTCCAAGGATTGCATATAATGGTCGAGTATTTCGATAACAATCCATCAAATAATTATTTGAAATATATCATCTTATCTATATTTAATGTATCAAATATATCAAGAATTATATATACATATAACCTTGATTAAAAAACTTAATATGTTTTCTAATATTCTTATAGTAATGGTAAAGTTTCACATCATGCAGAAATTACGATCTTTGCTAGCATTTGTTAGTGTATCGTAAATTTTATTAAAACGTTCAATTCAAGTTTCAGCCTATTCAGACTGCTGATACTAAAGATAATTTTCAAACCGCGTTAAAGCACACACATCAACTTGCATTATCTTTAATCTTAAACTCTCGTAAAAACGGATGAGTCTGGTTTTATCTATCTAGTGAGATATTAGATTAAAAAAATGCTGTTACTGGCCTGCGGCAAGTTGTTTATGCGTTTTATCACCTTATTATTCTGAACCTTATTGCTTCAAGTCTGATTGAATGGATCGCCCAATATAATCCTCTCCATATTAGGCGTAATTCCCCTATATATAGCTATATATATGTATATTTCTATATACATATCCTTCTGTGTAAACTTTTACATATATGTATATAAAATTACAAGGACACATTTGACATGTGAGAATTACGTAAAATGACCATCTGCAGACCGTTTAACAGAACGCTTGTAGGAATTGTATAAGCGTACGTGTCGGGCGTCCGGTCATTCCAGCCGGGATATATGGTAATTCGTCGTGGGCGGGACCCATGACACCAGCTATATCCAGATGCATCCACGGCGTATCCTTGGTGACAAACTCCCTCAAAAATGCAGCGGCAGTGCAAGAGCCACCACCCTTACACTTCGCGAGGTTATTTATATCAGCACCTTTGACTTTTTCTGAAAATTATCGGAACATTTAATAACGGGACAGTGACCCGGAGATAATAAAGAATGAAAAAAAGTTTCTAAAATAGGATTATAAAATAGATAACGTAACGCGTGCATAAATTCTTTGAATCGCTCACTTGTTACTTCATCCGTGAAATGCTGCCACAGAGGGAATCTCCATACTCGATCACCGGTTACCGTGCCAGCATTTCTCAGAGTTTCGTAAAGGTTGCCGTCATTGGTAAACACTCCAGTCGCGGAGTTCGACAAGGCGACTCTCATGGCACCAGTCAACGTAGCGATATCCAAGATAAATCTATATTTAAATTGAAGACATTTATCTGTTTATAATTATTTTCGATAATTTCTCTGCCGAAGATATGAAAATTGATAAAATATAATATAATGCATACAATAACATAGAAAATAATATCTTTTTGCTAAAATAGGATCCAAGAGACATAGTTCTTTTATACTAATTCTAAATCAAGGTCAAATTCTATATCAAGGCCAATATAATTTAGTTTCAAGCAAACCTTGGGTTAAACTGTTCAGCGTAGCACAGCGCATCGGCGAGAATCAGCCTGCCCTCTGCGTCGGTGTTGTCCACAATGATGGTCTTGCCGTTCATTGCCCGCACTAGATCTCCCGGTTTCGTAGCATGTCCGGACGGTAGATTCTCCGTGAGCGGGATCAGTCCAACGATATTTTTCTTCAGTTTGAGCTCCGCTGCGGCTCGGATGGTGGCGGCCACGCAGGCGGCGCCGCTCATATCGGCGCGCATCTCATCCATCTCCGATGACGGCTGTGAGCAATCGTTTACCTTTCTCATTTTCTCTTTAATTACTTTTAGAAATAGAGAAAAAGTGACTTACCTTAAGGCTAATGCCACCGGCATCGAAAGTAACTCCCTTACCAACAAACGTCATCGGTGACTCATTCGGATTCTCGGCGCCCTTGTAACTGATCTCGAGGAACTTGGGTGGTTCGGTGCTACCACGCGCCACACTAAGGAACGAGCCCATCTTCTTCTGCTCGGCCCAGCTTTTGTCGCGCACTTGTACGTCAACCCCGAGATGCGTCAAAACCTCAAAGACCTGTTGCGAAAATATTGTTGGTGTCATCAGGTTCGCGGGAGTGTCCGAGAGTTCGCGAGCCCAGTTTTGTGCCTGGGCTTTGATAATGCCAACTCGCCATTCTGCCCTTTAAAGAATAATAAATTATTAGTTTTGTATTCTTAAACAAAATCTACATTTTAAAATTTTAATGAATATTTTTTGATAAACCTAAAAAAAATATTACTTACTCTCCTTCTTCTCCGTATAGCGAGATCTTTGGTAATTTCTTTTTCTTCTCTTCATTTTTATATCCTTGATAAAGCCATGTGGATAAACCTGCTCCTTCGGCGGCAGCTTCCGCGTCTCCTAGCGTTTCTAGCTTAATGTCCTTTATCTCGACGTCATCTAGTGCACGGCATCCCGCTAGAAAATAAAATTAAAACTTTAATAGAATATATAATATTTTATAATACAATTTTATTTTTAACGATCTTCCTTTAAAACTTGTTTAAAAAATGGATAAACCATTCTGTGTATCACAAATAATTATAATTACATCATAATCTTAAATGCACAAAAGAAATTAATATAATTTAATAAGACAACATAATATGTTTTGAGATTGTTTCAATTTAGTATATATCTATATGTTGGTATATATATATTGAGTTTAAAATACTATCTAAAGGGATTTGAGTAACAAAGTGAAATGATTGTATTTATATGATACATAATTTGAATACTAAAGGTTACCTGCTGCGGCAGCACGTACACTTTCCTTCCCTTCATGAATCTCCTCAAGTTTGTTAATACCAAGACCTTGTTTCCCCAGTCCAACTACCGCGACTCCGGAGTAATCTGTTTCATCCAAACCCCAAAACACTCTAGCATGACCTTTAGGGATCTTTGGTCCTGCTCTGTAGCGCAAACATTCGTTCGAAGTTAGTGAAAAAAAATTGACCGTAACAATTTGTGAGGAAAGATATGCGATAATAACGCATTTAGTAGACAGAAATATTCAGACACAAATTCATAAATTTATTAATTACAATAGAATCTAGGCATTCTTTTGACATTCATCGTGTATGGTATACTTGCAATTTTAAAATATACTCTAAAAATATACTATTCTTTATTCTAGAATATTCTTTTTTCATCCAGTTATACATTATACATCGGTACATTTACAATTACTCACTTCGGAGAGTATAGCTACACATTAATTCACAACTGCTGTTTTTCTGAGCTACAGTATCAGCGTAGATACATTATGTTACGGAACTGTTTCACATTCAGTTCTCACTAACACTGTTGAAACGAGCATTACAACCTATTTAGCGGCTTAAGATATAATATACAATGAAATCTGTTGATAAACTTCATAAATTGTTTTATATACAATAACGCTATAAGTAGTAATGTGACTTTGTCATGGGGTTTACTTGGCATAGTTGTATAGTAAAACAATATAATAAAAAATAAATTTGCATATAATTAGGTATATGTTCACCGCAAATAAGAAATAATAGATTCATTAATATTATAACAAGAGCAATTTTATAAAAAAAGGATTAAAATGTATTCACACTGTTCAATTTCACATTCCGAAAATTTATGTGAATGTTATTCTTACTACAATATATTTCATTTCTCTATTTATTCTTTGTACAATTTCTTTTCTTAAATAATGTTCATATTAAAACAATAATTTACTTTGCTTTAATTCTGTTCTTCGATTATTCAACGTTTCAATTAGGCTAACGTAATATTACAAACTTTTAGCAGAATTAAACACAAAGGCAATAATATAATCAATAAAAAATTTAACATTCAATAAAGAAATATCGTAAGTCAGTTTTCATAAAAATGTGTTATCTATATATACCATTATCAGTGCAAAATATATTTGAGATGTTGTTGATTACTTCTTATCACGTCTCTGTTTACAAGATTGTGCAATCACATTGTGATACCACCTAGTCAATTTAAGCTAAAAATTTCACTAAAATGCAAAAAACATTTTTTAACGTTTCTATCACGCGGCAGCAAAAATATCGATATTTCAGTATTCAAAATATCGATATTGCAATTAGTAATTACTATTGATTTCTAAGAAAATGCAGGTACGATTTGTGTACGATTGCCAGTCGAAGTTACATATGTGTATCAGTTTTATATTACATTTCAGTATATATGCATATTAGTTTTGATAATTTCCAATGTTTAAATTTTTTCCAATCTTTAAAAACTTAAGGCTCCTTATATATATTAATATGGAAATATTTTTCAATAAAACAATATTTGCATTTATAGAGTACATTTGTAAAATATATCGAATACTCTCCTTTTATTTTGGAGAATAGAAAATCATTTATTTAAATTCGATAGCTATCATATAACTTTTTTTATTTTCTGATTAGGAAATTTAATTTTAAATATATATGATTATTGATTAATTACGCCGTAATGAATTAATAAAAATTCGAAAAATCTTGTGTTCCGTAATTATTATGGCGTAAGAATTTTAGATATATTTTACAAATCTATTCTAGCGATAGCAAAGTTTTATTAAGGAAATATTTTAATATAGTTTGCACGAATTTTCTTTATGTATTTTTGTTCGCTTTTGACATCTAAGGTGGCTGCAGTGAGTAGGCAAGAGCCTTAAACAAGTGCATTTCGGATTTATTATGAAAATTCTGTAAAAAAAAATTGTACCGTTATTAAACATGTTTATCATCTTTAAGTTTTGCGTTAAGAATAGATTATGGATTAAGATATTAAAATAATCATATTATTCGAACATTAAGAAGCATTATTGAAAAATCACTCGAACACACGCATACACTGCTGTAAATTTTTGCAGATTCGAACTGCTGCTTCCAAAAGTATTGTACTTATTGTACTAAGTGCCATTCTCACATCACATGAGCATATTTAAAAATATATATGTATGCATGTGTGTGTATATATATATATATATCTGCACAAAATACAATTCAGCAAGCGTGCAATTATGGTATCTCCGATGTTAAGTATCAATAACGTAAAATTACGAAAGATCATCGTTTCGTACTTATAAGTCATACGCAGGAATATTTTTTGAATATGTTATAACAATGCAAAACCTTTTATCATTACGATTCAGTCTGTTGAGATAGAATTACACCTAAATTAGATTAGAAAATAGATTCAAGATACGAAAATTTAATAATTAACAGTACTGATTTTCCTAATCATACGTATAATGCATGCAGCGTATAATTTAGAATTATACACAGCGTAAATTCTGAATTATACACATAGCATAGTTCAGAGAAAATATTTGTGCTCTCTGATACATTGAGCATGGATCAATCAAAGATCTCCATTTGCAATAGTTTTATTCGCCAATAATGCATTATTTAATGTCATTTTCATTCGATCTATAGATTACTTCAATAGTAGAAATTTTCACTACGCGTTGTTATTATTATAATTACGCTATTTAGAATGATTCCATTATTTCTCGTTGTTGTTCACGCTTAAAATAATCACGAGAGATACCACAAAATAAAAAGGGTCTAAGTACGCGGGTTAAAAACACAAAACAACAGATTTGATAAATTCTTTTCTTGAAGTAGAATTTTTGTCTTTTTATATTTCTAGTTTGGCTATCTTCTTTATTATTAGACCCGTTTTAATTTATAGTAATCGAATATGCATTTCACAATCAGTTAAGTTCCCCATTTAATTGCTTTTCCCTAATTGTCTCAAACCAGTTCTAATATTTTGATAATTCCTTGAGAGTTAGCGGCTACTACGACATTAGACATTTGCCTCCAACACACCGCAGATACAAATTCGTTCAGATCTTCCTCTCTTCTGTCTTGCACCTCCAATATGCTTCGTACGGCATCGAATTTGTACGAAAATAACTGCTTCGTCAATCCTTTGTAATACACATACAATGCATTATTTTCTGATCCGCAGGCCACGTAATCGCCGTCAGTAGCGAGTCCGACAAAGTTCTTCTCATTCACATGCCCGACGAACGATCGTAAACAAAGCGGATTATTTATGTTCCACATCTTCAATTGAGAATCCGTACTGGCTGATACAATTTCCTCTTTGTTAATAAACTTAACATAGGAGACGGCTTTGCGGTGACCTTTGAATATGCACAGTGCTTCCTTCATGTTGCGTAAATCGTAATAATGTACGCAGTGATCCGCAGAGCCGAATGCCAGGTGACATGAGCTGCGTGGATTAAATTTCACGCAGCATACGTTTGCTTTTGCTTCTAATGACGCCACGGAGTAATCGGTATTCAATGCCCACAACTTGACTCGGGCATCGTCGGAGCCGGATGCGATCAATCTGGTGTCCACGTCATTGAAATCGACAGACCAACACCTCTTCTCGTGCTCCTGGAACGCCTTTGTCCTCTGACCGGTCATCGCGTCCCATACCGTCACAGTGCCTTCGTAATCTGAAGATGCAAGCATTCCCTTGTGAAAGGAATTCCAAGAAACGCAAGAAATCTTGGAGCTAGAAACCATTTCGACGCAAGGATAATGAATGTCGACGGTGTCTCGGATAACCGCACCATAATCGAATACTTTGATACGTTTGGTAACACCGGCGATTGCGAAGAATTCGTTGTCCTTATCGAACTCGATACTGGACACGATGGTTGAGTTGTTGAAGAGATCCGACGAGTAGTTGAGAGTGGCTAGTGGACGAAGAGAATTGTACCTCGAGAACTTGACGAGATTCTCGCGAAAGACATCTAGACCGGAACTCGTGCTGTGCACGCCGCCGTGCTGCTGAGCTTCGCTCTGAGACTGTGTTTTCTGGCCGAGTAACAGTTCCTTGCCGCGAGAATCGAAATAACATTGAACGAAATCGTCGAAATGAGCGTGTAGCCTCTTTCTACGTACGGCTAGCGTCGATCCACCGGACTGACTGACACTTGGATTGGTAAAGGTGTCGGTCGCCTTCTCACTAGGTTTTATCATATTTGAGTCTATTATATCTATAAGGCCGAGCATCTCTCGCCTAATGGCTGATACTTGTGCGGTATCGTTCTCACTCGCCTTCTTAACGTCCTCCACCCGCGGACACTTGCTCTGAACGTCCTTCAGAATGTTCTCCACTTCTTCCATGTCCTTCTTGATCAACGCCACTTCTTTTTGCAACTGATTCTTTTGCTCTTCCTTTTGTTGCAGCAAGTGTTTGAGGAATTCGTGTAAAAGCTTGTTTTGCGCCGTACAAGTCTCTGCCTCGAGCAGATGCTTTCGTTGAGTCAGCACCTCCAACATCACATTTACGTCGGGTAGAGTGAGATTGGCACTCTCCGCTGCCACAATGCTCCTCAGTCCGTCAGATGCCGGTGTCGATGAATCGTTACCCGCCGCTCTGTGCCTACTATTGTCCGCGTAGGAGCCTAGCTGAGCGAGACCTTTAGTTCTCGTTTTATATTTGGAAACTAGCTCGTCCAACAGAAAATTCGGGAAAATATCTTGTTCGCTCAACGTGAAACTGCATTTCGGGCAACGGTCCTTAATCTCTAAACATTTTACAATACAATGATGACAAAACGTGTGTCCGCAACGTGTGATATATGCCGTGTCGATAAGATCAAAGCAAATAGGACACATATAATCATTGCTCTTATCTTCTAATATGCCAGTCATCCTCTGTAGTACGTTCGTAGGCGGATGAGGCTTATTAAATTTACCGCTACCGTCGCCTAATCCACCACTGCTCCCTGCGCTGCTATCATTCCCCATATTACTGTCGCCAGGAGTCGACATTACTAATATTACTCTACTTGATTCTTGTGTCAGTCTTGAAGCAATGATGGTTAATTAACTCAACGATTTAACAGCTTAAAATCTCCTATTTCAATTTCGTCTGACGTCGCATCGAAAAGAATATATCATAAATCAGGCAGTATTATATTCTCATTTATAAAGCGCAGCGTGTTTCTAGGATATCCTTGTGCGGAGCAAGTTGCGCTTCATATCATGCGTATAATACCGTCTCTCACTCTAGTCACTCCTGAAACAATGAAAATAATGCCAGTGAGCTCGTGTTGCGTAAGACTATCATTTAAAAATTCAAAATTTTCAATAACAGAAATGATACTTCATATATATGACAATTTTAAGATAACAAAGGGAAAGCACTTTTCAATGTCAGATAAAGCTCAGGCAGCATTATAACAATTGTTTCAGGCTGGAAATATGAATAAAATATTTAAACATATTGTTATATCGTATGACCAAACGAAAGTGAAACAACAATTTGGAAGTGCAATGCTGTATGGGGGCAGGGGCTTTCTTGTATACGTCATGATACTGTAACTTAGTGTATACGCTTGTTAAATAAAGTATGTGCTAAGAGTATGTACATGAGGAACATAGATTAACTTTGTTAAGAGAAGGAAAGGTTCAATATGGAGAAAGAAAAAAGGTATTTGAAGAGTATTCGACGCGTCGAGTCAACATGTGTTCAAATAGTCAAGGCGGAGTAGTCTGGCAAGTATATTCTACAACAATGACGCACAAGGGATACAGCCTTGTTAAATAACAAAATAATACGATACTATAACACAGAACGACGCTGCGGCGTGATGCCGTTTCTAAAATCGCGCGGATGCACAAAAGAGATTTTATAGCGATGGTAAGTAGCGGGCATTGAGACTTACAGCAAAATGTTTTTCAGCAGCTTGCCGTTAACCAGCTCATTGTACTTGACCGCCGTAGGGGTGAGCACGACGTTGTCCTCGCTCTCAGTTTCGTATACACCCAATACCAATCCCGTCTGCGGAAAAAAGGGGTAAATATGTCAAGGAAAGCGGGCGATAACAGAACAAGATCATCGACGAATAAATATATCTGAGAATAAGGAATATCGAGTCGGCGTAGACTCGATTTGATTGTTAACGTCGACAGGAAAGAGTTTAGATAAGACGCCCAAGATATGTTTGCACTTGCACACGACGACGAATTGCATCATGTTTGTCCGAATTTTCCGAGATTCCACGAGAATTTCGCGTCTCATCGTTTCGAAGAGCGAACGTGCCGCTTTTTAATCGACGAGGAAGAATCGCGCGATATTACCTTCATGGTCGATACGTTGGCGAACAAACGCAAGTGCGAATTTCCGTACTGTAGTGTCCCAGTCCTGATAAAAGACAATGCCATAATTCGTTCCCAAGAGCATTAGGTGTGATACATATATACCCCCATCATGAAGGCCCGTACACGACGGCGACGGTGAAACGATGATTCTGATAGGCTGGATTTGATCTCCGAAACGTTGGCGCCACGCGATGTAAACCGCGCGAATTATGAACGCGAAAGGCCGTTCGTTCTTCGATGATGATCGAGGACTTTATATGCAAAAATACTTTTTTTTTATATTATATAAATTTTTCGATTTCCTGCTTAGTTTTCGAGAAAATCGAATTTGAAAATCTGCTGCGTACGTATGCTATTATAGCTAAGCTATGATTTGTCGAACGATTAATTACACAATTAATCGTATGCATTTGAACAATTAAAAAACAAAAATACGTTGCCGAAGATTATATCGATAATTAGGCGGACACAGTTATGTATCTGACAACAATAGTTCCAGCAATACTGTAATTGATAAAATATATAAGGAATTTATATTAAAGAATCAAATGCTAAGTTTTCATTATATTTGTAAAATAAATTAGATATTTTATATGCAACATAACTTTTTTTATATATATGTAAATATTATAATATGGCGAAGACTCCACCAGCTTCGAGTGCGAAAAATTTGATGACCAATGTTCTTATCAACCGAATATCATCGGCAGACGATGCGAAATCTGCAAGTCTGGTTTTTATGGCTTTCCCAGATGTAGACCATATTTCAATAATGTTTCAGGAATATTAAAATATAATACCTAGGTTTACTATATAAGTGGACATATAACCTCTATAGAATACTCCTGTAATATTAAAAAAATATTTATGATATTTTCGAAATATTATAATAACATTATTTTAATTTTTTAATAATATTCAAGTAACATTCTAGGAACATTTTGCGCTTATAGGGTTATTAAAGACCGACATCCTTATGGAAGTTCGCGTCCTTGTTAATATTGAAGTGATTAAGAGTAAAAAAACTGATAATATTGTACTAATTTTATGATTTATTAGTTTAGTAGACGTGTTTATCGGTGTACGTGCATTTAAAACTCAATAATACTCAATTTTAAAATTGTGATTTCAGTGTTATTGAATTTAATAATGTATTAGTCAAATATTTATGTTAATAATAGCAAATTTATATCAATTGTCGATAATGTCAGCGTTCTTCGATTACCTCCGGGCCCTGGGGCCCTTTTTATACCGCCGAAAATTTGCCCAGGGTTGACGGTCTTTAATAGTATCTCGTCGGTGCCACCTCGAATAACGGGTCAACGATAGTGTATGACTTTACAGATTTTCAATAGATGACGGTATAGTCGTACTGCTGCATTGGCTGCGTTCAGAACGTTTGTTTTGCAACTGTTGGAAGTTTCCTTCGCGCTAATTGGATCATACTTTTAGATCTAGAAGAATGGTCCTATCTCAGCAGACAATCATAAAACGGTTGCAAAACTGTTGAGTCTGCTGAACGCAGCCATTGGCTGCGTTCAGCAGAACGTTTGTTTTGCAACTGTTGGAAGTTTCCTTCGCGCTAATTGGATCATACTTTTAGATCTAGAAGAATGGTCCTATCTCAGCAGACAATCATAAAACGGTTGCAAAATTGTTGAGTCTGCTGAACGCAGCCATTATTTAGGCCGGTATTCATAGTCGGTTCTTATTTCAAAACCATCTTAAGTATGTCTTAATACGCTAACGCGACTCTCTGATTGGTTCATGACACCTCAAGGTTGAACTTAAGACGATCTTGAATATAAGAACTGACTATGAATACCAGCCTTAAAGTTGGTTGGCAATACATGTACATACTTGAAAGGTATACACGCAGCTTTAAAACGTAGTACGTTTTTCATTTGACTAAAGTGTAAACAACTATTATTTTTATCGCATTGAAAATGTCAAATTTTGTACCGGAAAAACGCCATTTGCGGGAAGTTTTACTTCATTATTTTTTTCTAAAGAAAAGTGCAGCTGAAAGTCATCGTTTACTTGTGAAAGCTTACAAAAAACATGCTCCATCGGTAAGCATGTGTGAAAAATGGTTTAAACGATTCAAAAGCAATAATTTTGATTTGTATGATAAAAAGCATGGAAAGCCACCGAAAAAATTTGAAGATGCACAATTGGAAGCATTAATTGACGAAGATGCATGTCAAACAGAAAAAGAATTGGCAACAGCATTAAATGTTACCCAACAATGCATTTCTTTACGTCTGCGTGCAATGGGAATCGTCAAAAGCAAGGAAGTTGGATACCACATGAATTGAAAGAAAGAAACATTGAATGAAGAAAAACCTAACTATGTGCGAATTGTTGCTGCAACGACAAAAAAGAAATGGTTTTTTAAATCGAATTATTACTGGCGATGAAAAGTAGATTTACTACGACGATCCTAAACGCAAACGAGCATGGGTTAAGTCCGGTGAACCAGATCCATCAACGCCAAAGAAACATCCATGGCAGCAAAATTAAGCTGTGTATTTGGTAGGATATAAAGGGTGTGGTATATTATGAACTACTGCAACCGTTTGAAACTATCACTGGTAAACGGTACCGACTACAATTAATATGTTTGAACCGAGCTGTGAAGGAAAAACGACTGGAATGGACTATGAATAGACATGACAAGATAATTTTACAGCACAACAACGCCAGACCACATGTTCATGAATTCATCAAGAATTATCTAGAAAGAGTGAACTGGGAGATTCTACCTCACCCGCTGTATTCACCAGACATTGCTCCCTCAGATTACTATTTGTTTCGGTCTATGGCGTCGGCCCTTTCTGTAGAACGGTTCAGATCTTGTGAAGAAATAAAAAATTGGCTTGATAATTGGATCGCTTCAAAACATCCAGACTTCTATCAGCGTGGAATCCGTTTATTGTCTGAAAGGTAGGCCAAGGTTGTGGCTTTGGATGGAGCATACTTTGAATGAAGTAAGAATGATTTATGTTATGTCAAATCATTGCGTTTTTTTTTTATCAAAAAATCCTTAGTCATACTTGTATACCTAATAAATATATTATAATAAATACAAATATAAATATATATATATATATATATACAGTAAGTATAGAGCTTTGTTATGTAAGAATAACTTAGCAATTAATTTTAGCAACTTTTAATAACTTAGCATTAATTTTCCAAGACATTTTTTCTCTTTCTCTCTTATAATGAAAATTTCTTGTCTCGTTTTGAAGAGTGAACGTGCTGCATTAGTCGACAATTTATCTTCCTGTTGCCTGTTTTCAACCGTCTATCTGCTTCCTTTGCATTTCCTCTTCTTCCTTCATTTTCCTCTTCTTTTTTCAATGCTTTCTTCAGCTTGTCATCATTGTCTTGTTTCTTGACATTACTCTTTATTTTATTCTACCGATTTTCCTTCTGTTTGTTTCTTCAATTTTTGTCTAGTCGTTTTACTTTGCTTCTCCATTTGATCTTTCCCAGCCATTGTCAGACGAAGATTCATTTGTAGAATGATTATTGTTTGACATATCTGATTTAATGTCCGTCTTTTGCCTAGTGAATGATACATTATCTTGAGCGTTATCAATTGCTTTTGTAGTTTTCTTTCCTGATTCTCCAATGGCTTGGTTACTTGACTGTCACTCGGATAGGATCTATGATTGTATTAGGGGTGCATTCGGGGAGACACTATTAGTGCTACTTGTATCATTCTATCTTCATTGTTTATTAAGCATAAAACAAAGATAGATGATACAAATAGCGTTAATAGCGCGTCCCTCGAATGCAACCTAGGTATCTATGGAACTGTATTGCTTCTGTTTCTTGGACTGTTGTCTCTGGTATTTCAACTGGTGAGAGTCTGGGCAACAAAATACCACCGTGCCGAGCTGATGTACTGAGAAATATGCAGATTGATGTTCGTGCTCTCTTTGTCAATGATGGCCTGGAGCAAGCTGGCCTTCCTTGCCTCTTCCAGCTTCTCCTTTAACCATTCTTTTCTGCTTCTCTTGCGTGACTCATCCTCGAAGGAATTCTTGTTCTTTAAGATGCTAGACACGGTTATGTTTGTTGACGAATTCACCATTCCGTTGGAAACTTTACCTTCTTCCTCTTACCTTTCTTATCTCCTTTCTGTAAATTTTAAGTCTGTTTCTTCTTCCTCTTACCTTTCTTATCTCCTTTTTGTAAATTTTAAGTCTATATTATAGCTGAATTAGTATAAACTTTTTGTACTTAATACTACTTTGGAATAAATATATATTTGAAATTTGGCAAAAGCGAGAGGGAAAGTTCTAATGCAATTCAGTGCAACAATAAAAAATAAACCTTATGATTTACTTGTAATTTGTGCATCAGAGAATGTCGTTTTGTTTACATATGTTACGGCAAGGTTATGTTTCATGAACTAAAGAAAGCTTGAGAGTAGACATGTCCGCATTTAATTAAAATACTAACGCCTCTATCTGCGTGTATATTGAACTACGTAGCCAAGTCCATAGTGGAAGACCACGAATATTTTCAGCGAAGAAATGGCACGATCTTCGTTTCTGTCGCTTAGTGTTCTACAAAATGGTTTCTCCTAAAAAATCAAAATAAAATATGCATTATAGAACAATTAAGTTGTTTTATAATCCCGAAATATTGTATGCTTATAAGATAATTTTGTATAAACGTTTGATTTCCATTTTACATCGAATGAGCCTTGTAATGAGACACGATGACCTACCTAGAGTTTGGTCTATCGCCATTTTACCGATGTAATCGTTCAAATTTTCACATTGTATGTACGTCTATTTTATTATCATTTATTACGCTTATTTTTTATTCTGTATGAATTTTATTCGATTCATTTACATATTTAGCAGCTCGTTTCATACGAAACCTTTCAGCACAGTTATGCGTCTCCAATGAGGCGAAGCGCTTTTCGCAACGCACCTTTCATCGTGGGCCCGCTAGAAGTCCCGGTTGATCGACTTGGAGACTGGAGTGGGGCCTCAGGGCCTTTATATTAGTCTGATAGAGGGGGGGATGCACGATTGTGTTGGGAGTAACTCCCGTAAGTGTGTTGGAAGTCCTGTCCTGTCATATGTCGGATTTTCCGTTCCGCGAAACGCGATCGCGCACGTTCCTCGGCGGCTGCACGAAGGATTCGACGAATTCCAGGATTTCCAGGGTGAGCGCGAACGTCGAGGGTCGAGTGGACCCCATTCTCGTGCGGCCCCCCCTCCCCCGCGTGAGCGAAACGCGCTCGGGCCCCGCATCTGCTTCGAGACTCGAGACTCTCGAGAGTTGGAATGCGGGATCAACATGGAGGAGGTGGCGGATAGATCGATATTGCTCGGTGATGTCACGCACGGTCGCTGACTCTCCCGTCCAGCATCCCGTTGTGAGTTAATTGTGAAATTCCCACGTCAAGCCGTGCCGTAAACGGTCGTGACGCGTCGCGAATGGACGCATCGATAAAGCCCCTCCCCGCGCCATAACTCGCGCTCTGTAAATAAGCACGGCCGCGCAAAATTCGAGATCCGTACAGTGGCAAAATTTTTTCTCGAAAGCGAATACCGTAACTTATCGTTGAAGCAGTAACGAAAGTAATTCTATCGAGATAAGTGGAATTGTGGCAGTTCTACGTTTAGCTTCGTAAATTCGAAGAATAATCTATCCGCAAATTAATTTACGTTCATGACATATGTCGTCATTAGAAAACTTGGGCTCTTAATTAAGCAAATAAAATTTGAATTTTTTCTGTATTTTTTTAAATTCAAATTCGAAAGCTATTGTAATTTAGTTTACCAATTTTGAATATATACTTTGTTAAATTGTAAATTTGTCCTTTAGTTCCGAAAAATATACCTACATTTTAATTGTATGTACAGTGTGAGCAAATCTGTGAAAATCTGCCAAGCACAAAGTAACAATAACATTATATCAATATTATAATTTCTTACTCAACAATATAAATAATAATAATAATAATAGCAATAATAATAATTTTATTGTATGCACTTACAAATTGTATTTTAAACAATGTTTGCAAAAAATTGCAAATGGCAAAAAATATAACACAAGTTAAATTGTAAGTAACAGTTACATATTTAGTAGGAAATTACAACATTATGTAACGTTACTGTTACTTTTTGTTCAGTGGTAAAATGTTTAAAAACACAAATCGTGTTTTAAAACGTAAATCTTGTTGTGAAATGTCTTTCAGATTCAAACAATTTTTATCTCTACTTGAAATATGAATGTAAAAATTACACGATTATATTGAAATGAATTTCTGAATTGCAGAACGGAGCATGGAATGGAAGGATCATGCCCACTCCTCTTTCCCAGCTTTGGGGAACAGAGCGGCTCTGAGCGGGGAGGAGGCTACTCGTCGCAGAAGGTCGGCGTTTATCGACCAGGTGCGGACGCTATCGACTTGGGCTACCACACCCTCGACAACAATGCTTGCCGCACTACATCATCATCGTCCTCGTCAACCCCGGGTGTATCTAGCACGCCGACTCGTCAACAGCAACAGCAGCAGCAGCAACAGCTACCGCAGCCTAAGCACCATCTGGTTCATCACGTCACCGTCAATGACCTCTGCCAGCTCGACGACAATCTGCTGCTGAGGATCTTTAGCTGGCTCGACACCCGCGACCGCTGTTCCCTGGCGCAGACTTGCCGGCGACTCTGGGAAATCGCGTGGCATCCGGCACTCTGGCGAGAGGTCGAGGTGCGTTATCCACAGAATGCCACCGCGGCGTTAAACGCGCTGACGCGCCGTGGTTGTCACACCTGTGTTCGTCGTTTGGTCCTGGAAGGCGCCACCGGGTTGCCCGGCATCTTCGCTCAACTGCCGTACCTCAATCTGACCTCCCTAGTGTTGCGACACTCGCGTCGAGTCACCGACGCCAACGTCACCACCGTTCTGGACAGCTGTGCTCATCTCAGAGAGCTTGACTTGACTGGCTGTTCTAATGTTACTCGTGCTTGCGGTCGTACCACTATTTTACAGCTGCAGTCGCTCGATCTTAGCGACTGCCATGGCGTCGAGGATTCCGGCCTGATGCTAAGCATGTCGCGCATGCCGCATCTGGGATGCCTTTACCTACGTAGGTGCAGCCGCATCACCGACTCCAGCTTGGCTACCATCGCTTCCTACTGCGCCAACCTGCGTCAGCTGTCGGTGTCGGATTGCATGAAAGTTACGGATTTCGGGGTGCGCGAGCTGGCGGCACGTCTCGGCCCATCGCTCCGTTACTTCTCCGTAGGCAAATGCGACCGTGTGTCCGACGCTGGTCTGCTGGTCGTCGCCCGTCATTGCTACAAGCTGCGCTACCTGAACGCTCGTGGTTGCGAGGCGCTTAGCGACAGCGCGACCATCGCCCTGGCGCGCGGTTGTCCGCGTATGCGCGCCCTGGACATAGGCAAATGCGACATCGGCGACGCGACTCTCGAGGCACTCTCTACCGGATGTCCGAATCTGAAGAAGCTGTCCCTGTGCGGATGCGAGAGGATCACCGACGCTGGTCTCGAGGCCTTGGCCTACTACGTGCGTGGCCTGCGGCAACTCAACATCGGCGAGTGCTCCAGAGTCACGTGGGTCGGCTACCGCGCGGTTAAACGCTACTGCCGACGTTGCGTCATAGAGCATACTAACCCTGGATTCTCCAGCTGATGTCATCTAATTAACAACGCCACTCGTATTAAGGATCCCGAGCAACAGCGTGGAAGTATTCTCGGAAAAAAATACTCCGAAGAGGAGAATATTCCGATGAATTCTCTGGAAAAGGGACTTTAAAGTATATCCTGAGAATATTAAAAATAGGAATTATGTTGATATAGTATATTGAGAATACATTCTCTAGTATAATTTATAAAGATGTTCGAATATTCTCAGGATATTCGCTTATTTCGTAACACTAATCTCAAGTGCCAGAGTGTAATATAGCGGAAGTTTATAGAGAATTGTAAACCCAATTTTTTATCAAAGTTTATGCGATAATGTTATTTTTGATACGGCGCGACGAAAAGAAAAACAATGAAGGTGAATTATCAATTTTTGAGATCGATAACTTGTATCACATCTATTTATTAATAAACACCGTTTCGTCGCTCTCATATTTGTAAAAAGATTATTTCATGATTGGTTGTAAAAATATATATTATACATATATTTTGCTTTTCAAAAGTCACGCATGCTACTTATTTATTGTTTCCATAATTTAATGCATTGTGTAATGATAATGAATCGTTTGTATTCCGTAACAATGTTTTGTAATTTATTGTAATAACGATATAGTATTAAATACTCTCATTTCTTAACACCATTGGAATTAATATGTGGATTTATTACATGGCATATGCAGTATGTACGAAATTGCATAGAAATATGCAATAAATCAGTTCTTGTTAAACTAAATTACTTTTGAAATCCAAAATTTCACGCAACAAATGTTATATTTATATAATTAAAAAGTTGTTATTGTTAAAAAGTTAAATATACTGCAACAAATTTCATTAAAAAGTTTTTATAAAATTATAACTTCGACATTTATACAAGACTTACAAGTTTGTAATTTTTTTGAATCTTCATTTTTCTTTTGACTTATAAAGACTTACAAAGCAAAATTTTGTTGAAAACTTATAGTTGCGAAACGAGGGTAATTTTAACATACAATATATATAAAAAATATATAAAAAAATATAAAAAGTATTATTTATATGTGTAAATACATTTTTAAGGAAATTTAATTATAGAACTCTCTCATTTAAATCACGATTCCAACAATCATCTTTGTGTCATAAAATACATATCTGCTTTCAAAAAAATTTTGAATAGCGATCTGAATATGCGTGACGCATGTTACAAAAACATAAAATAATTCAAGCTTGGTTCCGTGATCGATAAAATAATGTTAATAAATAATTATTAAAAATAGGTTGCAATGACGTCCATTTTACGATTTAACTCTTTTTGTCGGCTTAAAAATGAAATATGTTATTATCTCTCAGAGAAAATGTATCGATGCCATTATTTCGGAATCGGCGCTTTCCGTTATTTGAACACTAAAGATTACAAACAAAAAATTGCCTCAAGTAGCAGAACGATGTTACAAAATTATGTAATGCCTAGTACTAAAAAATAGAAGTCTGTAGTTGCTTTCTGTTTGCACCAAAACTCAGATACTTCTCACTTATGACGTCATTACTCAATTGAATGCTCCACGTTCCTTTTTATTCTGATAAATGAGATTCGATTAAATTTTTACTTACAATCTGTATAAGCTCGAAAGCTCGAAATTGTGTATTTTATTGAGTCTTGTTACCTCGCATTAAAAGTAAGATTATAAACTTGTGTTGTCACGCGATAACTTTGTCACCAAAGTAAGCAAGTAGTATAAATGTCATTATCTACGTATATAATACTTATAACTTTAGATTCAGTATCGCTTGTGTTGAAAATAAAAAGCAATTATTATCCAAGAAACACAGAAAAGTCAACAAAAAATCAAAATGACTTAATTTTAATTTTTAACGTCAATAAACAGTCAAATTTTGTAATAAAAAATCATTTTGACTCTCATGACGTCAAAATAAAGCCATTTCTGACTTTCTCTTGGTGTGTTCCTTGTATATGTCATTCTTCTAACGTCATTCTGTATAGTTTGAACGCATTTCCGTGTATCTTTGTGCATTCATTCGGACTTCGCATCAGGCGTGAATTCGTGCCCGCGCCGTTTCGATAAACGCCTGCGCGAATTTCCTTCGGGAACCCGCGTTCTCTGGTAGGGATAGCGCGGGATTTAGGGGCGAAATTGCACGGTGGTTGAAAGCCGTGTCGTCGTGTATCAGTCGTACGTAGGCGGTCACGCGGTCACGAGCAGGCCCTCAATTCCATGTCGCCCTCTCCCGTCCCGTTCCTTCGATACGGGCTTTTTTTGATCATCGCCTTCGGGAATGGTGAGTGCTAGCAGAATCGTGCGATTTTCACTTAATGATTGATTTGGGCGTTTTCAGCGCTTCTATCCTTGTTTTACATTTAATGGACGATAGAGACAGAATGTTGATTATATACGCTTAAAGCGCGTAATTGTTCAAACCGAACGCAGCCGATAATTCGCAAAGTAGCGAATTTTCGATTAAAATCACTTTAATTAATTTTTTGTTTCAATATTAAGGCACCGCGATTGGAGTTTAAAAAGTTTTCGTTTTGAGAATTTAAGATTTAAGATTGATAAGAGTAACAAGAGTTTCTGTTCTCCGTTTAATTTTCAGATGCCTCTTTGATAATTAAGTTTTGTTTCCTTAATTAATTGAGTTTTTGTAATTACCTAATACATTGCATAATCAAGTTTAATATTTAATCATTGAATGTTTGAAATAAAATAGATTTTCTTTTAAACAATGAAATTTTTGCAAATCTATTCTAAGTAATTAAAAAATTTTTTTCATTAATTTCTATAATAACAATAATAATAATAGTAACAACGTTTTCAAGTTTGTATATCAATAATTTCATTAGTTAGTAATTTTATTTCAATTATTGCCATTAAATCTTGTTTAAGATAAATTTAAGATAAACTTGAGGAGATTAACATAAACTATTATACGATTTATATATGTAATATTTTCTTTTTAATATTTTATATTTTTTACAAAATTGAAAATTGAAATGTTCTCGTAAAACAAATCTAAAAAATTATTATTTCGTGAAAATTACTTTTTAAAATCTTTATAAAATCTTGACGCAGGAAAAAATTTTTTTACTTGAGCTCAAATTAGAAAATTTCATTATACGACACCTATATTACATAAGGAAGAATAATTATCTTGCTTCAAGAATGGATTATTGATACTTTTTTAGATGTCTTCTAAAACTCGATTTACCCTTTTTCTATAACTTTCAATAATCTTGGAAGCTAATGGCGAATGCGATTGAAAGCAATAGTGTGTATATTAAAGCCATTGTATACTGATTTAATTTGAGTATAAAAGTGAAATGCAAATATTTCGAATTATAAAATACATATTTTACCTAACAATACAATAAAATGTATTAAGTATTTCAGGATTTAATCGATTTCTACGTTTATGTATAAACATAATCTTTACGTTATTTTGTGTACGACGGCTTTAATGTGCACCAATGCGCACTGAGTGCGTCCAATCGAATTCGCTACAAGAAAGATGTAGATCGTCATCAATGAACCTTCAAGGATCGCGTTTTGGTATCAAAGTACAGCGCGTTTAGGAATTGTTTAGATATTGTCTGTAGACGTCACAAAGCTCGTCATAGCTTTTGCCCGCCAGGGCTACACAACCGCTGATATCAAAGACGTCTGAGATGTAAATTACGCGACGCGATCAAATTCTCAAGGCTAGCTGAAACGTCAACAAATTGCGAGCCATTTTTAGGATGAGTGTCCTCGACACGAGAGACAACGCGAACAGTTCGCGATTTTTATTACATCTCTCTCGACCGTGAAATTTTCAAGGACTTGACAATTTGATGATTTACGTTTCCATGCTCGTATTAACTTTGTTGTAGTAGGATTTCTTTTAAAGATACATCTCCGACAGATTTAAATAGCCGAATCAATTTAATATATGTAAAATACTTATCACGAATCTTCGATCGCACAAATTCTAAAATTCTAAATTTAGGTTCGGTAGAAAATTCTATTCGCAAAGGTTACAAGAGTGCAGTTGAAGTTCAACTGCACTCTTGTTCAAACAGAATCCTGTCAGTTTACTTTTATTGGTATACTTGCCCCGGATATATGTATATGTATATAAGAGAGAGGCTCGCGGAACTTTTAATGCCGAATGTATAGCTTCCAGCGACACAATAATATTGCTTTCCCATTAAATCCTAGGAGATCAAAAAAGTTAAAATAATGTCATATTGACTGAATCATGATAAAATAATGACATAAATTCAATAATCGATCAATATGACGTCAAATTGACATTATTTTTACTTTATTATACTTCCAAGGAACACACAAAAATCAACAAAAAATCAAAATGATTTTGTTTTTATTCTTAACGTCAATAAACAGTTAAATTTTATAATTAGAAATCATCATTTTGATTTTCATGACACCAAAATAAAGTCATTTTGACTTTTTTTTTACTTGGTAATTCCTTGAGTTTGGAAATCAAGCAGAACACAAATTATGACGCTGTCAAAATGACGTCAAAATGGCTCCAAAGTAATTATTAAAAGTCACTTTTCAATGAGTTACGATTTTCATTTTAACTTCATTTTGACGTTATCGTGATTTATTTTTCTACTTAGGAAGTTATATCGAGATATCACAAACGATATAGCGTCGTTGCCATTTTTATAAACTTGAGTCATTTTTAATTTTAATTTTCCTTGTAATTTATTGCTTTCAAAATTACCTTTTTACTTTAAGTTAAACTAATCATGTAATATTCTAATTAAATTTGTGATTAAATCTAATTCATAATAAATAGTATAAATTTGTTTTGTGTGTAATTTACACGAAATTTGCCTTAATAAATGGATTCAATTGTCGAGAACAGATAATATGTAGAAGGTTCATATTAAAGGTTCACGTGGCCCATGATGTAGCTTTCGATCTTAACCGGACCTCGTTATGGTATGTTTGCGTCGCAGCTGGTAGTGTAAACATTTGCGAATCAATCGCGTCAAGGGGCTATTTGACGCCTCCTCCATGCCACTGAATTCGGTGATCGGGATACCGATGGAATTTGCATATTCGTCGGAATCGGGGCCTGTGCATGCATTTAACAAATCGGTTTACGTACCGAGGTTTTAATGGTTTTGGGTCACTATCTACGATTACTTCCTCATCATTTACAAGCTAAGTTTTATCTATTTATCCGCGAATTGACACGCGGCTGATCGTTTTTACAACAGATTGTTTTTACAGAATCCAATACAGTAAAAAAGGAGAGACAACTTGTTCAAAACAAGGAGAGAAACGAAAATCGTATCATTATTGTGGCAAGATTTTACAGAGTATCTTATTAAATTAATACTAATTATTTAATATGGCTAATTATACAATATAAGTATTCAATATATATGCATAGTTTACAGTTTTAAACAAAGGACTTCACATTAATTATATGGAAAATTGA